GGAATAGATCAACTAGCAGGAGACGAGAACATTTTTTCGAAACAACAGCTCTTGAAATCTACAAAAATGTTGTAAGCGTAAATCACGGCTCATTTTTAGAACAAGAATATTGGAATTTATGCATACCACTAAACTCGACATTTTGGCCAATTGAGGTGGATATATTTTTCAGAAGCTTATTTTGAGTCAATAAAAACTTAATCACGCACAATTATGTGTATCACTGACCAGGGTACATGCATCATATTTTCTTAGTATTGGGTGTAAAATAACCTTAATTAAATACCTGCTATATATAAAAACCTCCATATGCTATTGCTACTTGTTTTGTGTCATCGTCTTCAATAAACAGTATTTCAAATGAATGTTCAACAAAACCATCCATTTCATCTGAGTTTTCTGTGAATCCAAAGCAGATTAGTTTTCAAAAGTAATTGAGTGAGTTATGTCTTATAAATAATCAAGATGTTTTCCAGCTTCTAAATCTTCAATTCATGTGAAAAAAATTAAAAAAATGTATAGTTTAAATAAAAATTCACTTATTGGCCAGTCTCAAACTAACATAATGGATATGTCATAAAGAATATAGCATTATCAAGCTTTAACTAGCAGATTAAAGAATGATGAGGTTTGTTGATAAAATCTTCTTAAAATTGAAACATTGTTTTCGATATTATACTAAGTGTCAGTTAAAGTTGTTTTAGACATTTGCTACAGTTATGGTTGTATTTACGTTAAATTGAAGATTAAGGCAATAATAATAATTTTGAATGTATACACACCATATGAAAAAGGGCGTGGCTATTGTAATACCTTTGTTTATAAGAAGTTTAATATATCATTACTACCCGCTGAAAGAACATATTGCAATAAATAAGATCGAAAAGTTTCAATGCTCTAACATTTAAAGATCACAAATTACAGGTGTTTGAAATCTCATTCTTCTTCTTCTCAGTCTTCTGCTCGTTTTATTTGATTTTCTCAGTTTTTGTAACTTTACATTTAAATGTGTAGGCCAACAGCGAAACATGTTCGAAACGATCGCTAATTTTGCATGTTTGCATTACATATATTTTGCACAGCTGAACACAGGGTTCCCACACAAACGACATACGATTTTGAAATTTTAGCAGTTATGGTATAATTAATAGTCATGTTATATATTGTCTTGAATGGATGTCAATTGCGAATATTATTGCCAGGGAATGTCGCATTGAATTGAGTTTATCAGTATACATATATGTGACTGCATGTACAATTGAACCTGGACTTCTCGCTCGTTGAAGAGGCCAATTTTTCTGATTTAGTCAGACAGATTGAAATGATCTTTTTTTTTTGGTAAAGCTTTTATTCGGCGTAAACAACCCGCGTGTGAGGGGGTACTTCTACACATGCAAGTTCAAAGTCGTTTATCACAGTGAGATGAAAAGGGAGGGTCCCAGTTTTGTACCTCGGGTTACAACGACAGGGACTGGTCCATATTCAGATTAGTAGTCCGAAGACAATTGACGGCTGTTGATACTTTTGTGTCGGGAAGACTCCATCCATAAGAGCAATAACTTGAGGGTTACATAGGGAATGCAAACGATCTAGTGCACTACCACTAGAAAGTAGTTAATGAGTCTGTGGTCTAATAATGCTCAAGTATTACTTTGCAATTCTTGAACATTTTAAAGAGTTTGGTAAAGAATATAGGAATGTGTGAAGTGCCACGCCTGCCGGCTACCGGCCGAGTCAAACTAAGAATTGTATATAGGTTGCACAAGGGTGCCTATAATGGTCCCCTTTGAATAGCGATTGAAATTAAAACAAAATTGTCGTATTTTTGACAGTGCATCCGGGAATAGTCTCCTTTGTACGTTGGACAAACCGTCCTAGAATAACCACCTTTGGCTAGCACGTGGAAGTGAGAATTGCACGTTGGATAAATGAGAAGTCTTTTTGACATTGATGAGTCACAGACTTTCAAGTCTATCTGCTTGAAGTGCCACGAATGGCGGCTACCGGCCGAATAAAAATTACGAGAAATTGTACGATGCCGGTAAGGGGGCCTAGAATAGTCCCGTTTGGTTGTTAGTTGAAAATCAGATTTGTATGTTTGGTCCGGGAATATAGTCTCCTTTGGCTAGTCAGTGAAAAGCACAAGTGCACGTTGAACAAGGGGTCCGGGAATCAGTGGCGGATTTAGGCCAGAAACTGAGGGGAATGAGCTGGTTTCCGAATAAATTCGCTAATTTTAGTGGGAAGTTTGATTTTGATACATTCTCTAAACTAATCTGTCATGCCCATTAAAATCATCCAAAATGACACATTTTAGAACAAAAAGAATGAGCTATAGCAAATGAAAACCATCAATAATGACCCATTTTGACCAAAAGACATGGGCTATACTAAAGCCCAACAAAATCATCAATAATGACCCATTTCTGCTAAAAACCATGGGCTCGTAGCCCTTGAAAATCTTGCCGAAGTTTCGACCAAAGACCATGTACTATAGACCATGAAAATCATCAAATATGACCCATTTTCGACTAAAACCATGGGCTAAAGACCATGAAAATGATCAAAGATGATCCATTTTTGACCCAAAAGCATGGGCTTTGCAAGGCCATGAAAATCATAAAAATGCCCCATTTTTCGACCAAGTAAAAATCATGGGCTATAAACCCCATCAAAATCATCCAAATTGACCGTTTTTCGACCAAAACCCATAGGCTATAACCCAAGAAAAAATCAAAAATGATCCAATTTCGATCAGAACATTGGGCTATCCGGCTCCTATTCGGAAAATGATCAAAGACAATCAATTTTCGACCAAAATGCATGGGCTATGAAAATCATCAAAACAACCTCTATGCCTATTACATGGAATTACATGAAGATGAACAGAGTCTTTTTTGACATATAAGCACGGCATATAAGCCACTACCGATCAGAGTGCGAGCCGTAAAAATCACAACTTCTAGGTTGCTAAAAGTTGCCTATAAAACTCCCCTTTCAATAGCGAGTGAAAAACAAAATTGTACTTTAAACAATGCGGGTATTAATAGCCTTCCTTGCCTAGCGAGTGTAAATGAGAATTGTTCGTTTACTAATAATAATGGGCTCCTGTCGTTTGACATAGGGTCCTAAAAAGTCCACTTTGTCTAACATCTCAAAATGATTATCGTACGTTGGACAAGATCGCTAAATTTGCATTGCAGACTTATTTCGCCGAGCTGGAAACAAACGGCTCCCACACAAATTAACGACATAAGATTTGGAGATTTTAGCAGTTATAGTATAAATAGTCATGAGATATATATTGTTTGAATTTTATTGCAAGCGGACTCAGGTAGATTAAGGCTTGGGTTGAGCCAAGTTTGCATAGAATATGTGTATAAAGAGCTTCTTGCCTTTTCTTTAGTAAGAGATGGTGATATTTTGACTTTTATCGGTGTTTAGCCATGAATGCTAAAATTTTGATATGTTTTTACTTTAAGGGGAGTATCACGTGACTAGCTAGCTTGRATTTTAACTGCAAAATATTCGGTTCAAAATGGGGAGTGGAAATATTTTTCGGATCGTGATGTGTTATATTTCGTTTGGTTTCTATTAGAGAAGGCTTTTCAATTTAGACTTTTTTCTTTGAATAAATGTATTATTAAATGAGTTATTAAAGATACAGGTCACGTGACCTAATTTGCATATTGATTTTTTTTAAATATTTATTTTAATAATAAGTGAATACAACGAGAAAAGGCTATTTCATATATGAACCAACATCAGCTTAATATCAAGGCATGTTTGAACTTGATTGATAAAGCCTCTATACTCCCCATTTTCGAAAAACCGTTTTTGATGCCTTAAAGTCACGTGACCAACAAACTGGCTCATTTGTCATATAAAACTCTTGTATACCAGGATCCTCAACATGTGTCAAAAATTGGGTTCTGTACTTATAAAGGTTATTGTGCTATCGAAGAATATAAAATTCCGCAGGTCAACTTAATACCCAAGCCTTAAACTACCTGAGGATATGTCACATCGATTGAGTTTACATTTATCAGTATGTGGACTGTATGTACTCTTAGAACTGGCCTTGATCTCGCTCGTGGAAAAGGTCAATTTTTCTAATTGAGTGGACAGATTGAAAATACCTTTTTTGTCCGGTAAATCTTTATTCGGAGGAAACAAGCTGCATGTTATACATCAGGGAATACTTCTACACATGTACATAAAAAGTCGTTTACCATGCATAGTGAGATAAAATTGTAAGCTTCCAGTTTTGGAGAGCACTAGGGTACACTGACAGGGACAAGTAGTTATTCCGACTAGCAACTGATACTTTTGAGTCAGGAAGACTCCGGTCCAAAGAGCAATAACTTGGGGGGATAGGGAATGTTTTTAAATCTTTAATTTTTTTAAATTTTGAAAATCATAAATGTATGTGCCAGCAAGGGGTCTATAATAGTGCCCTTTGGTTAGCGAGAGATTTATTGAACGTTGGGAGAAGGCACGTGGACTAGTAGAATAGTCCCCTTTGCTAGCAAGAGAAAATGAGAATTGTGCTATGGACAAAAGGTCTTAGAATAGTCCCCTTTGCTAGCATGTGAAAATGAGAATTGTGCGTTAAACAAAGCCTGTCTTGGAAGAATAGTCCCCTTTGCTAGCAAGTGAAAATGAGAATTGTGCTCAATGGACAAAAGGTCTTAGACTAATAGTCCCCTTTGCTAGCAAGTGAAAATGAGAATTGTGCGTTAAACAAAGTGTCTTGGGAGAATAGTCACCTTTGCTAGCAAGTGAAAATGAGAATTGTGCGTTAAACAAAGTGTCTTNCGATAAAGAATCAAGTTCGTTGTGCAGCACTAACGTGCCATCAATTCTGAGGAAAACCAAACCAAAAGATTTGATAGAGTTTTCGGGRAAAAAATGCGAAGAGGAACTGAAAACAAGAGCTCCAATTCTTTATGGTTGTATGTATAGTGTTSCAAATGCATTTGAAAAGAAGAAAATAGACAAAAAATTTCAGAAGAAAATAGAAAATGACATCAACAAGCAGGGAGCACCAATATCTCTTGCAGCATCCATCCTCTTGAAGCAGAGATGCCCCCAGATGTCTGCCATTGCATACAGATTTGCACTCGGAGTGTTATGGCATAGTGGAGCCAAAAAACAGGTATGGAACAAASTTACTTATTTTTATGGGCTGAGTACATCCAGAATCTTGGACAGAGGCTACCTCGTAAGCAAGGTGCATTTACCTCTATCTCTTGGTACATAGCGAATATTAATTTTCATACTCCCCTTTATTACTATTTGTTTCGTGGGTTAACGGAAACCAAAAAACCAATTTAACATGTTGCACACTCAATTATAATCAAAATTCAAATCTAAAGTAATCATTGTTTTTTTTTTAGTCCAACCAGATTATTTTTGAATTTCTTGTGTCATAAGTCAATAACATTATTTTCTTTAAATGTCCAGGGATACTTACGAGCAAACCATTGGGGAGTGTCAGTAAGCCACACCAGTACATTGCAGAAACTGGATGAGATGGGGAGCAATTTTGATGATGATGTCAAGATGTGGAAAAGCAAACTTGTAAAGTACCATCTTATTAATGAAGTCCTGGAAAATGTGGATCAGTATGTAAATGCAAAGGAGAAAGAGCACATACCTGAAGGATTTCAAACAACTGATGTCAGCAGTCTATCCCTTTCCTTTCCAGAAGTACCTACAAATGATGAAGCAAGGATGTCCTGCAGTGATGAGATTTCAGAAAACCAGTCAACGGGTAGTGAGCTTCTAGATATGGAAGAGTTTCTGAATGACTATRCAGAATTTTGTGACCAGAACAAAGATTCCCATGTTTCTGAGAAGGGCTCTATCTCAAGCTTTCTTTCAAACAGATGCAGCTTTTCTGAGAATGACCRGCAAACATTTAAAGACTTTGTCCATGAACAAGGGCTTGATGTTGATACTCTGAATAAACATCAAGTCTCAATGCTAACATCCAAGCAAGAAGAGAATCAGCCTTTACGATATCAAATCATAGGTGACAATGTTGATATGTTTGTGAAGCCAAAGCACATGTCCAGTGACAATCAGAACAAGAGCATCCACTGGTTTGCTATGAATGCCATTCAAGATCGTGTTAGTTCAGCAAGTAACACTTCTCAACAAATCCAACCGATTTTGAATGTTGAAAATTCAGAGTTTCTGCCATCGCCTGAAGATAACAAAAAACTGTTGCAAGACTTCATTCTACTTACTGCTAGAGTTCTAATAAAGAGAGTTCCTGACTTGCAGTGTTTAAAAGGATGTGCTGTAAAGCACATTCCACATAAGTATTCAAAGGAAATGAAAAAAAAATCTGTTCAGGTTAGTAAAAAAAATGCTTCATCCAATCACCAATAATTCCTTAATGAATGACATACATGCATCAAATATCACATTATAATTAAACTAAGATGAATATATGTACAAATGAATATTAAATAAATGTCTGAATGAATAAATGGGTGATAAATACATGTAAAATATAAAAAATAAATGAATATTCAATAAATACATATCTAAAATATATCAGAAATTATGGGATATCATCGCCTATATTTTTTTCACAAAGTACTAGTGCTAGGCAACTTMAAAAATATATAGGCGATGATATCCCATAATTTCTGATATTTTTTTGGATATACTTGAAATATGAGCAAAAAGATCATAATTTCTGCATATTGCTGTAAATGCCATAATATTGATAAATTAATATAAAAACAATTAAAAATGCACAATAGATAATAATTATTAATTAATAAGATTAATAGTACACAAAAGGAAAGCCTTTTAACCAAACAAGACATGAGATATGTTCAAGTTTTTTACACAGTATTTTCATTATTTTCAGGTACCCTTAGGCTTACTATTCAAAAATGAAAATCTGAATGATGAAATGATAGAAATCTTGGAGCACATACACTCCCATTATGTCCCCACAAAGATGGTGGAAACTGAAAATGGTGACCTGCAGAGTGAAGTGATGGAATCTTTATTTTTTGGCGGAGATCAACTGACCGAGGAGAGGGGAAGGAACTGCAAAGATGCCAGAGCTGATTCAGACACACAATATGACAGATTAGAAGGTGTTGAAACTAAGCATGAAGACTGGCACTCAGTACGATTGATATATCAGGTAACACCCCCCCCCCAAAAAAAAAAATAAAGCAAAAACGTTTAGGTGATTACATGAATGTTATCAAAAACTTGTTTGTTCTTTTTTTTGCAGATCTTATATGATATTCTSTACAAGCCCTCCTCCGCAACTGATCAAGGGACAATGTGCTCTAACATGAATRTAAAGTGTCTTGGGAGAATAGTCACCTTTGCTAGCAAGTGAAAATGAGAATTGTGCGTTAAACAAAGTGTCTTGGGAGAATAGTCACCTTTGCTAGCAAGTGAAAATGAGAATTGTGCGTTAAACAAAGTGTCTTGGAAGAATAGTCCCATTTGCTAGCAAGTGAAAATGAGAATTGTGCTCAATGGACAAAAGGTCTTAGACTAATAGTCCCCTTTGCTAGCATGTGAAAATGAGAATTGCACGTTGTGCAAGTTGAACTAGAATAGTGATTTTCAATCGGTAGCCAAAAGGGAACTATTCCCGGACCCCTTGTTCAACATGCAATTCTCCTTTTCACTGGCTAGCCAAAAGAGACTATTGCCGGACCAATTGTCAAACGTACAAATCTGATTTTCAATTGATAACCAAAGGAGACTATTCTAGGCCCCCTTACCGGCATCGTACAATTTCTAACTTTTATTCTGCTGGTAGACGGCATTCGAGCTTCACGCAGATAGACATATAAGTCTGCGACTTCTTTGCAGACTTCTTCTTTATCCAACGTGCAATTCTCATTTCCCAATGCTAGCCAAAGGTGACTATTCTGGGACCCTTTGTCCAGCGTACAATCCTCATTTTCACTCGCTACCAAAGGAGACTATTCCCGGATGCATTGCCAAAAATACAATTTTGTGTTGCACTCGCTATTCAAAGGGGATTATAATAGTCACCCTTGTGCACCCTATATACAATTCTTATTTTGACTAAGCAGGCGTGTCACTTCACACATTCATATACGCCGTACCATACTGTTTAAACTGTTCAAGAATTACAAATTAATACTTGGCAGTGCACTAGATCTTTAGCATTCCCTATATATCCCTCAATAATTGCTCTTTGGGATGGAGTCTTCCTGACGCAAAAGTATCAACGGCCGTCAATTGTCTTCGGACTGCTAATCTGAATACGAACCGGTCCCGTTGTTGTACCCCAAGGAACGAAACTGGGACCCACCCTTTTCATCTCACTGTAATAAACGACTTTAAACTTGCATGTGTGGAAGTGCCCCCTTGCCGAATACAATCTGTAAGAGAATTTCAATCTGTCCACTCAATCAGAAAAATTGGCCTTTTCAAAGAGCGAGAAGTCCAGTTTTAATTGTACATACAGTCGCATATATGTATATATACTCTCTTTGGGTTGTATACTCTATACTCTCTGTAAGAGAATTTCAATCTGTCCACTCAATCAGAAAAATTGGCCTTTTCAAAGAGCGAGAAGTCCAGTTTTAATTGTACATACAGTCGCATATATGTATATATACTCTCTTTGGGTTGTATACTCTATACTCTCTGTATACTATGAAAAACTCTAAATTCAATGTGAAATAACCTGGAAATACAATTCGCGATTGACTTTCATTCAAGACAATATATATAACATGACTATTTATACCATAACTTACTAAAATCTCGAAATCTTATGTCATTTGTGTGGGAGCCCTGTGCTTTTCAGCTGTGCGATTTATCTGCAATGCAAAAATCAGCGATTTGCAGTTAAGTTATAAAAACTGAGATAATCAAACGTAGTGGCTCCACACCAGGTTGCTTCCATCATTTTCAAGCCCATGTACGTACACTATCAAGTAAATTTCAATTCCAGTTAAATTCAATTCAGTTTATTAACAATGTTTTAAGTACAAGAATGATCAATAAAATTACATAGTTTCTCATTAGGTCGAGTAGAGTACAAACATTAAATGTGTGCAACACTTTCCACTATTTACTACAAAATAGTGTTAATTAAACAATAGAAAACAATAGAATTAGCATAATTTAGCAATATTTAGTGGTATTTATGTTGCACAGTTTTAGTGTTTGTACTCGGGAGAATCTACGTAGCACTCAGTTGATGTAATAAATTCATAAAGATATAATACAAAACACATAATACAATAGAACGAGAAACAATGGAATACAATACATTTTATGAATACATTACATCAACTGCGTGCTACGTAGGTCACCCCGTTTGTACTCTATTGAAGTAATTCAAATGTACAGTAAATTTTCATAAGTGTAGGTTTAATTTGCTTTTCCAGCCCACATTTGTGCAAATTCTTGTGCAAATATTATAGTTTGTCAAAAAGATAATATGCATTTGTGCTGACTGTTTTTCACTGGTTTTTGTTGTAGGTCCTCGCTGCGCTCGTGGGTCCTCTTGAGTTTTGTCCATTTTATGACTTCAAGAGGGTGTCAATAAGAGGACATACAACTCAAAACCGTGCACAGTTTGTTAACTTGGGATAGTTTAGGAACCCATCGCAGTTAAATACTCTGTATAACCATTTCAACGATTCCAGGACCCTTCTTCAACTAACATGTATCATTCTTGTTCTCAGACTCTTTCCTTTCATTTTGAGCGAACAGGAAAAGGATCCTACAAATCTCCACACATACATGTACATATATAGTATACTTTGAATTTTTCGTCAAAAATTTAAATAAAGTGCTCAATGACACGAGTAGCCAGAGTGACATATAATGAAATACATTTTCAACAAACCACTGTATATTGACGATGCATACTTAATTAAAAAAATAAAATAGTAAATTAAAATTATAGTATCTTCTTAATTCAGCTGGTAAGTGCATGGTCCTACTCAGCCATATGAAACAGTTAATTTTGTCTAAAAATCAACAGTAGTCTGTTTTATAATTTTTCATTTTATGTGCAGTCATTTAATTAGTATAATTAATATTTTGGCTTGGGCTTCCTGTCCTTCTAGTAAAAATGACACTCTAAAACCGTGTGAGCTTTTTATTCCTGTCCAGAAATTGTGGGAATTACGAAAATGTAGATAAACTGCAAAGAGAAGAACATAATACCATTATAAATAAAAATTCTTATTTTTCAGTATATTAGGATCTACATGTACATATAAATTTGGTGACCAGAAAGGTGTCAAAGTGTTCCACAACACAAACGCCATATTTTTAAGTCTCAGTAAGTCTCATACAGAAAATGTATGGCCTCAACATCATTTCATATTTTGAGGAAAGAGTTGCTGATTAAAACTGGTCTCAGCAAAAACACCAAATTTAGTCTCAACAGACCTCAAACATACAGAAATATCACTTTTAGTGACGTTGGATGATTTTGCGAACATTTCATTTTTTGATATCACAGGTGCCAATTACAACCAATGTCAACAAAAGCACCCAATTTAGTCTCAGTAGGCATCAAACACACAGGAAATTCAACTTTTAAAAGTAATCAGTGACTTTGCCAACATTTTTGAGATCACAAAAAGCACCAACAAAAGCACCAAATTTACAGTAGCCTCAGTAATCCTCAAACATTTAGTGTGCAAAAATACCACATAAACCAACTTGTCAATGATATAGTAGCTGGCATCTTTTACAGTCAATGCACTTGTACCATGAAGCATACATGTAAGCAAAGAATTATAGTAAATATTACTTTTTATTTACTGACTAATTGTATTTAATAGTAGATATCACTGAGCCAGAACAATTCATGAAAAAAAAATGGAATACACAAGAGACTTGGAAGCTAAACACAACGTTATTAAAAGCTACTATAATAAAGAAGGAGGAATTTGTTAAAAAATGTTCCACCCACAAGGAAAGAAATAAAGAGTTGGTATAGTTCTTTGTTATAAATGCAGGAAGAGAGAGAAAAGATGTTGGAACGGGATAAAAGTATGTGTTAATGAAGGCCTCACGGCAAATTGAGTTTTTTGAAAGGGCATACAAAGTGTAAAAATATGAAATAAATGAAACCGTGATCACATTTTTAAAACATTCCAAATAAATACGGATTGCATTCACATGAAATAAAATTGTTCAGTTAATTGTCAAGTCTCTAGTGTATTGCCTTTTGCTTTCATGAACTGTTCTTGTTCAGTGATATCTACTAAGTTATATAGTCAGTAAATAGACACTATAATAGTTTAAAACTACTTAGTTTGATTAAGCTTAATATATTTCATGAAACAAGACCATAAAGGTAAAAGTCTAATTTTTGTTTTATAACAAAATTATCAAAACTCACATCATTCAATATAAATCAAACAGCATGACAATAGCTATAATATCCTTAAGTTATGTTATCTAAAAATGCTAAACAAAAAAATCACATAACCATGATTCACAGCTTACCTGACAGTTAACTGGAGAATTTTGCTTAGATTACTACCAGAGAATAAGATTTTTTTCTGCACTTCTTCAATTTTCCCCCGGGCAAATTTCTCATCAGCTTGTGTGTTATATCTTTAACTTTAATACAAGCCTTTAAGCTAATAAGAACTTCTAAAAGCTTACTGTGACGACTGGGACTAATGATCGAAGGTCTCACAGAATCACAAAGAAATCCCTTGCCTAGAGAGCTCTCTTTGTAAACCTTGTGTCAATGTAGTATAAGAACCACGCTAGTCAAGTCAACAATTATACATAAACCTCGAGTTCTTGTAAGAGATGTATAAAACCAGAAGTACATACTTCTGATAAAACCAACACTGCATCAAGCCGCCATTTTGTTTTTACTGACAAGACATCGGTCATCCATCCCCTCCCTGTCCGGATGTAATGAGTCCGCTGACCGTATAATGTCCAAACATTTCCCCAGGTACCCCTGGACGGGTAGTTATTTCTACAAAATGATTTCCGCTTTCCCGATTTCAGAAGACGGGAATCGTGAAGTCGAACGACGGCTTTTACAGCTCAAATCCTCGATCGAAAATCAGAAAAAAATTAGGAATTTCGTTTTTCGGTACACGATGTCTCAAAGCAAGAAAACAGCAGAATTCAAATCGAGGAATCTGATTTCAGAAACCCGACAATAAAAAATCATCGAAAGTGTCAAATTGAGTAATTTAGAAATAGAGATGGAAATTTTGAAGAAAAGGGTAGTTTTCTGATTCTTTAAACGGAGATTCTGAAAAAGGTGCTATGTTTTTTGAAATTTGACATTTCTGAAAATCAGAAATCAGCTTGGCCGCGAAAAGTCCTGATTTTTATCGATCTTTTCGTTGATTT